ACCCGGTGGCTTAAAACTCACACCGGGCACGTGTGCGTGCGTGCCCAAGATCCCGAGAGGAGAACGGAGGAGAAGGGATTGCGGCATGACCATCCCCCCAGGAGGTGATTTCTCACTTTCTGTCTCTATGTCTCTCTTTGTCTGGCGAGCACACGCGCCCTATAGCAAAAATCTCTCAAAAAAATATTTAAAAAAAGTCCTTATTTTTTTAGAGGTACAAAATATTTAAGGGTAAAACGTCACAATGTCTAAAGTTAAAAAACACTTCAGAAAATAAAAGAAAAAATAATGTTCTCCCGGAAAATAAAAAGTGATTGAGTACCAACATATTAGTGTTAAAAATAAACTACTTTCAGGGGCCAGCAGGTGGCATGGTGGATAAGGGCGCTGGACTCCCACATGGCTCACCATGGTTTGAGTCTCGGACCTGGTGGCTTGCTTTCTCACTCACTCTCTCACTCTGTCTCTGTGTCTTTCTGGTCAAATTAAAAAATAAAATGAATGAATAAATAATTCTTAAAAAAAAAATAGAGAGACTAAAAAAAACAAAACAAAACAAAAAAACTACTTTCACTCAGGATCTGTTGTTTGTCCAAAAAAGGGAGTTACAAAAAGTCTAAAAATAAAACAAAAGAATAACATTGATATATACTAACAAAAGACATTTTACTTGTTTGAGTCAATAATTTCTTAGGTTTAAAATTCGTTTTTTTTTTTTTTCCAAGAGAGATTTTTTGCTATAGGGCTTGTATGCTTGCTGGAGAGACACGTAACAAGAAATCACTCCCCCCTACCCCCGCCCAGGGAGATGGCCACGCCGCAATTGCTTCTTTTCCAATCTCCTCTCAGGATTTTGGGCACGCTTGCATATGTGCCTGGTGTGATGGTGAAGCACCCAGGTCTGGGACTCAAACTGCAGCCATGTGGGAGTCCAGCAACGTAACCACTACACCATTTGCTGGTCCCAAAAAATAAGTATAAATTTAAGTCATGAGATTCAAAAAAATTAAAAGTCAGGAATAATAGCATAAGAAGCTTAGAGAAAAAATTCAGAGAGGATCTGTATGATGTTTTTCTTTTTTTTTTTGGAGAGGTTTTCGCTATAGGGCACATGTGCTCACCAAAAGGACAGAGACAGAGAGACAGAAAGTGAGAAATCACCCCCCGGGGGGATGGCCATGCTACAATCCCTTCTCCTCCATTCTCCTCTCAGGATCTTGGGCACAAACGCACACGTGTCCAGCGTGAGCTTAAGCCACTGGGTCCAGGACTTGAACCAGGGTCAAATACATGGGAGTCCAGCGACACAGCCGTTACTCCAACCACTGGTCCCAAAAAAATAAGTATAAATTGAAGTCATGAGATTCAAAAAATTTAAAAGTCAGGAATAACAGAATAGGAAGCTTAGAGAAAAAATTAAGAGGATCTGTATGACTGTTTTTTTTTTTTTCTTTTTTTCTTGGAGAGGTTTTTGCTATTAGGTGCGTGCACTCGCCAGAAAGAGACAGAGAGACAGAAAGCGAGAAATCACCTCCCCCAACAGGGGGAATGGCCACGCCACAATCCCTTCTCCTCCATTCTCCTCTTGGGATCTTGGGCACGCATGGACACGTACGTGCCCAGCGTGAGTTTAAGCCACTGGGTCCGGGACTCGAACCATGGTAGACTACATGGGAGTCCAGTGATATAGCCATTACGCTAACTGCTGGTCCCTATGTTTCTTTATCCTAAGTCAAAACTTACCTTCCCTCAGTGGAGTCCAAATATAAATGGAATAATAAAAACCCACCTACTTGATTTCATATAAAAATGAGCTAGACATTTTCTTTTTATTAATTTTTTATTTTTGGAGAGGCTTTTGCTATAGGGCGTGTGCGCTTGCCAGACGGACGGAGAGAGACAGAGAGAGAGAAAGTAAGAAATCACCCCCAGGGGGGATGGCCACACCGCAATCCCTTCTCCTCCAGTCTCCTCTCGGGATCTTGGGCACACGTGCACATGCGCCTGGCGTGAGTTTTAAGCCACTAGGTCCGGGATGCGAACCGCGGGTCGACTACATGGGAGTCCAGCGACAAAGTCATTACGCCAACTGCTGGTCCCTCTTTTTATTAATTTTAATTCACTCGGAGAGAGACAGAGAGAGAGGAAGAGAAACTTAGAAGGCAAGCCACCAGTGAGAAAGCCAGCCACCAGGTCCTGGACTTTAACTGTGGTCAGCCACATGAGAGTCCAGTGCCTTAACCATCACACCACCTGCCGGTTCCATTTTCACTAGAAGTGTGAATGAGTTATTCTGGCTTCGCATCACTGACAGTGAAGAATCTGGTTTCCTGACCTAGACCAAGGCTATCCTGGCACTATGTTACAGTAATAATGGCTGATGCCAACATCCATTCTCCTCCCAAGAAACTGGTCTAAAGATCCACTGTGGTAGTCATCAGCAATACGTAACTAGTGAACAGTTGAAATGTGGTATGTCGAGGGGCTGGCAGGTGGCGTGGTGGTTAAGGTGCTGGACTCCCACATGGCCAACCAAGGTTCAAGTCCTGGACCGCGTGGTTTGCTTTCTCACTTTCCCTCTCTCCCTCTCTCTCTGTGTCTCTCTCAGGTCAATTTAAAAAAATGAGTAAAATTAAATAAAATAACTTAAAAAAAAAAAAAAAGAAATGTATGGTATGTCAAAGTAAGATGTGTATTTCAAAAATATCTAATTTGGGGAACCAGCAGTTAGCGTAATGGCTATGTTGCTGGACTCCCACGTAGTCGACCACAGTTCGCGTCTCGGACCCGGTGGCTTAAATCTCACGCCGGGCGCGTGTGCGTGCGTGCCCAAGATCCCGAGAGGAGAATGGAGGAGAAGGGATTGCGGCGTGACCATCCCCCCTGGGGGGTGATTTCTCGCTTTCT